CACTCTCTGTCTTCTAAATATTCAAATATTGTCTTTCAGATTCTATTCTAAAGAAAAAGTGATATGTGATAGCATTCTGAAGTGGTAAGCATGTTTACACTATTAAATTTTCTGTTAATTAGTCTTACTATTGTTGACATGTATTGAAAAATTGAACTAGGTTTGGAGACACGGATGTACAGAGGAGGGGGAGTCATAGTAGGAGAGACAATATTAGTAAGCAGGATCTTGAGTTCTTGAGTAATAGTCTCATCCCCAGAGTTTTTAAAAAGTAACAGTAGAAAGGTCACTTTAAATCTTATCCTTGAAGACATAAGTGAGAAGGATTAAGAGCTTGCTAGAATTTTCTAATAAGACAGATTGTTACTAGAGGTTAAATAGATCAAACCATTAGCAAAATTTCCACAAATCTGTAGAAATCTGCTTTCACCATAAATTGCATGTATAATTTTTAATAAATAATCAAAATTTCCTCAGTTCTCTATCTCATTTTTTCAATGATATATGATTATCATTATTCAATTTGTTATTGTCATGTCAGCTGTAGAGATTTATTCTTTTTAAAGTTTATAATTCATCAATATTTTGTACATTTAATGGAAGAATTGAGGTTTTAAAAATTGGTTTCACGAAGCAAGAAAATAAAAACAACATGACTTGAATATTCCAGACTGACAAAAAGCATTTATTGATTAGTGATTTGAAGGGTGTTTGTTGACCCATGGTAGATAATAAAGAGTGGTGCTTGGATTTGGATTTGACGTTGTCAATATTTTATTCTTCTTGTCTAGAGCAGCAGACACTTGGTTTGCGTGGTATGAATACAATTCAGAGAAAAACTCAATATAAATGAAAATTCAGGGAGTCCTTCTGTCTCGAACAGTCCAGATTGTTTGTTTTTCTAAATGCTGGTAAACAGATCTGGACAGTCATGGATGTGATTAAAATAGGCTTCCAGCCAGTCTTCTTAAACAATGCTTGTTCTGTAAAGGAAAAGGGAAAAGGCATTAGGTATTGATCACATCTTTTAAGAAAGGAAACTTGAGGAGAGAATGTAAAATGCAAAAGAAGAAAAAGCACGAAATGAACCAGCACTTACTTACTAGGCAAACCATTTCCTACTTGTAAGAACCTATCCCAAGTGCTCGAATTTGGGATTTCCCAAAATTTCTTTACAACATGGTTTTCCAGAGCAGTAACTGTTAAAAAGTACATTAGTTATTCAAAAAACTTAGGTTCATGCTTTTATCAGTGTTATGTTACAACAAAATTAATGAACTAGTCTCTGGTTTGGTGAGTCTCCACTGCATAATTGCAGAATAGTCAGAAAGATAGATGGAGTTTACAGAGGGACGGAAATGCCTCATATGTTTTTGTCTAAACAAAATGCTCTATTTCTAAATAACTTATCTCAAGATGTTAATGCTTTATGGTTGATATAAATAGCTCTTAATTAGGAACAAATATTAATTATATCTACACCAAAAAAGTGAAGCTGTTAACTTTTTAAAAACACAGTATCAATAAAGTGTTATATATTAAAGAGGGAACAGGTATATACCTTGAATGCTCCATTTAGACAGACATGATATGCTTAACAAAAGCTGTAGGGGCAAAACAGACAGTTTAGAGTTAGATAACAGTCAAATTTAATAAATGAGAGGTTTAGAAATTTAGCTCAATCCTAATTACTCTTACCTATAGCAGTAGAGTTCGTTTTCTTAATCTCTGAATAGCCCACAATTCTTAATATTGGATTTATGACCTTTGCCTTGATTTTATAAATTTAATTTTTTGAATAAGTGATATATTTATACAGTTATTATTTTTTTAAGAGATAAAGTCTCACTCTGCTGCTCAGGCTGGACTCAAGCTCCTGAGCTCAAGGGATCCTCTTGCCTCAGCGTCCCATGTGGCTGGGACTACAGGCGCTCACCATAGTACCCAACTAACAGTTTCATTTTTTTCCTTAAAGTATAAAAGGGTATATACATGAAAAGCATTGCTCACCATTTTCTATCAGCCACCTGGTTCCCCTCTTTATAGCTAAGTTGACAGAACAATTTATACACATACAAGAACACATAAATATATGTTTCTAAATTTCTTTTGCACAAATAGTGGTATACATTATATACTGTTTCATACTTTTCCTGATTAATAATTTACCTTGGAAATATTACCATAACTGTATATGAAAGTGTCCTTATTCTTCCTTAGGACTACTAAGAATTTCATTGCATAAATGCAT